ATTCCATCACTCACAGTTGAAGAGTACCTATGATAAAAATTACAGTCTTCTACAAGCTTTGCAAGTGGGAAAACCTGAAAAATCAACAGTGTATCAAATACTTGTTCTCCCCACTGTAAATTGGTTTCTCAAAACACACCATTGGTTGGTCGTCTAACTATCTCTCAGATCTGAGGCAATGTGTTCAACATCTTCCAGTTATCTAACAGTTAACAACAGTGTACCACAAGGTTCAGTCTTAGGGCCCACACTCTCCACAATCTACATAAGTAATGTAGGTCAGACCATCCCTAATGCCTCCTTACATTTCTATGCTGATGACACAGTTGTTTATTGTTGAGCTAAAACAGTTACTAAGATTTTACAGCTTTTGCAATCTGCTTTTGACATAATCCAGTCAGATTTGTTTCGTCTCATACTTGTACTAAATGCTGACAAAACCAAAGGGATGTTGTTTTCAAACAGGAAGTCGGTCCCAGAAGTCCTTCCTTTTGATTTTATCTTCAAATGGTGTTCCTATTCAGTTTGTCTATTCTTACAAATCCTTGGGTATCTTGGTCGATTTGCATATCTCCTTTAAGCCCCACGTTGAAAACTTGGTAAAGAAATTGAAAGTAAAACTGAGTTTCTTTTTCAGAAATGGATCTTGTCTAACTTTGAATGCTAGGAAACACCTTGTAACTGTGACTTTCCTTCCCTCCATTGACTACGGTGACGTTATTTACATGAACACTCCTACAAGCACTCTGCAGATGTTGGACGCTGCCTATCATGGTGCACTAAGATTCATAACTGGTTGTAACTACCATACCCACCACTGCACCCTGTATTCACTGATTAACTGGTCATTATTAATTTCACACAGACTCTCTCACTGGTACATTTTCATGTTTAAATCACTTCTTGATCTGTTGCCTTCACACATCTCCACCTACATGTCTCTGCGTGAGTGCAGCTACAGCGTGCGCTCTCAGGACATTATTACATGCAGTGTTCCCTCTGTGAGGACTGAACTAGGCAAAAGGGCCTTCTCCTACTCCGCTACTGTTTCCTGGAATATTTTGCAAAAAGATCTGAAGCTCTCAACCTTGACCTCTCTAAGTGACTTTAAACATCTGCTAAGTTCATGGCAAACACCAACGCAGACATGTTTCTGTTTTTAGTTTTCTACATTGCTTTATAATGTAGCTGGTTTTTTTTTTTATATAATTTTCTTCCATTTATTTTTCAATTTGTATGCTTTTATGATTGTTTACTGTTGTCATCATTCTTTGTTAAAAACAGTTCTGTCTTATAAATGAGTCCTTGAGGCTCAATGAGACTAACCTGTATAAGTAAAGGTTGAATGAAAATTACTGTTGTTACTATTATGAACTTACTCTGAACAGAGAAAATGAGTGTGAATTCACTTAGTTTGAGAGGGGAAAAACTGTTTATCTGAAAACACTTAAGTTAACTTTCTCCAAACCATCCTGATGCATGCTCAATAATCCTGGTAGAAAAATTAAAAAAAGTTAAGTCTGGTTCTCTGGACGGGTTCAAAAAAACAAAAAATTGTAGAAATGTTTTGTCGAAACTTTTCTACAATTTTTTTTTGTTTTTTGAACTCGTCCAGAGGACCAGACTTAACTTTTTTACATTTCTCCAAACCACTAAACTGAGTTTTTAGTGTCTGAATGTTTTTTTTTTAATGAGTTCAATCAACTCAGAGTAGCTTAACATCAAGTTGTGTGCACATGTGCTATTAAAAGCCAATGTCAATGGATATTTGATACCTCAATTCACCATGGCAACCAGAGGGAAAACCGATCCGAATCGTTTCTACATAACGTACACAAAGTACTGATCAGACCAAGTAGACCCAAATGGTACAAGGTTGTGTCCTGTTTGAGTTAACACATTATCATAAGTTCAGAAGTGCACAAAAAGTGATTTATTTTTATAATAATGTGTATTTTTTTATTTGTTTCCTGCAGCTGCTGTTTGTCAGACACCAGTTTAAAATTGCTTTCTTCAGTGAGCTGAAACAGGACACCCAGAACGCCCTCAAGTGAGTGATACCTGTAGGAAACCACAATCTCCCCAGGACTCTGGTGAATTGTTGTGTGTTTGGGACTAAAACAAAATCTGTATTCTATTTATAAAATATTCAGTTGTTTATAATAGAGTCTGAGTTTGTAGCAGAGTACACCTGTGGCCAGAAGTAATGATCATGACACAAAAACGGTCATATTTGCTACCTTCTTTTTGTTTAGGATCGTATTTTGCATTAACTTTGGTATGAAGAGTGATCAGTAGGGTTGGATGATATGACCAAAAATAAATGTGGCAACATTTTGGTCATAGTTCTCAACTGAAAAAGGGTGGATTGCCCACTGTTGCCAGGGGAGAGGCCTTGCCTCTGATTATATAGAAATGAGTTGGCCCAGTGATTTGGCCCAGAAGTTAGTTGACAGCATGCCTGTATAAACTGCAGACGTCTTGGGGCCAAAAAGGCCTAACATTGCAAATATTTACCCTTTGCGTAAACATAATGTAATTATCAAACCTCTGAAACATATAGAATGCTTTTAATTATACTTTAGTTCACAATAGAAAAAAGATCTGAAAACATCAAAGCAAGAAAGTTTGTGAAAACCAGTCTTTCTGTCATTGTTAAATCTTTTGGTTGCAGCTTTTCAGCTTACCTTAGTGTGAGGTGTGAAACAGAACCAAACTCAGTGTGGGGTGTATAACTGAAGGATCTGCACTGTTTCTCTTAACAGGTACTACAGAACTGCTTACAGTCTAGTTCACGAGCTCCGAGCACACGAGACCAACATATTGGAAATTAAAACTCTGGCTGGATTCATCAGCTATAAGGTATGGTTCTGCTCAGACTTTGACCATCATAATCGTGAGGGTGAGCATCGAATATATTACTGCATAACTTCACAGTTTTAGACTTTGTAGCATTTTTTTAACCAGAATATATCTGAATTTGACATGAGTGGAACTTTGTAAAATGCAGTCTTTTCAGCAGTGGCTCTCAATTGTACCTTTAAATTCTTCTCTTAATGTTTTCAATCGAGCCTGACCGACAGAAATTTTGGCTATCGCCGATACCGATCTTGGAAGGGGTGGGCAGCCGCCGATAACCGATATAATGGATGAACATTTTTTAGTTTTGTCCACCCCCAAGAATCTAAGTAAACAGTGAGTGGAGCGGTGCTTGTTTATTTAGTAATCAGCTCCAAGTATACGTAGTTGCACTGGTCATAAAAACAGTCTTCCTAATGTGTGTTCACATTTTCTATCCTCCACTACTGACCATAAATTTATCAAGTGTGTTACACAAAAATATAAATTAAACAAAGAAACATCCTTCCCTGTTCATTGTTTAAACAGTCAGTCACTATGGTGAAAGTCTAATTAGTATTGATCGCAGCAGCATATTTTCTTTGCAGAGAAATAAAGATTTCAGACAATCAATGCATTTCATTGAGGATGACAAAGACAACATTACTAACACTGATATTTTACCTCTATGTTAGATTTATTGTTCTGGATAAAAATTTACAAGGCAATAGCTTATGCTAGGTTATCTAAATGTTAGCTTGCTAATTTGAGAGGCATGTAGCTAATGACAAGCGAGTTGGAGGATTGAAGAGAATTTATTATTGTTTTACAAAGCAGTTAAAATTAACATGCTCTGTTCAGCAAAATACGCTACACAGTATTGTGCCCTGCTTCGGCTGTGCTGAATGTGAAAGTGACTTAGTAGTCTTCATGTGTCCTCTGCTGGATACATTGTACAATTACGGCTGGCTCCAGTATTTGGGGAGAAAATTAGAAGTGCTTATATATATGGGACAATTATCAATGATACCGATAAGTCCCCAAACATCTATATTGGCCCTAGAGCTGGGCGATATCTCGATATTTTAAAGATATCTATATATATATTTTTGCAATATAAGTCGAGACTATCTCGATATAAAACAATATACTGTAGTTTTGCGTTTGGAAATCCTCCTGCCGTCTTCTTTCTCCGACTCACCCCCCTCCTCCCTCCTTGAACACAAACACACAGCCCCCCCCGCTTCTCCAGGAGGTGGGCGGGCAGGAGAGGAAACGTTTAGCAGAAGTAAACACGAGCAAATGAGCGTGTGTGAAGCTACAGCTCTGACAGAACTGACTCCTTCCCTGAAGCAAACCACGGTTCAACTCTCATTTAGCCATTGTCGTGGTTGGCTACCACGTCGTGTTCAACACAGCTGAGACGTCGCCCTCGGTATAAAAGATTTATTTGACAAAACATGGGTTACAGATATTCAGAGACAAACAATTACATTAATAAGATATATGCATATAAATGGAGCATTAAAGCACGAACCGTCTCGGTGTGCGCCTCCCGGAAATGCTCGGTGGGCGTGTGTTATTTCCGGCCTTTTATCACAGTTTGAGAAGGCTAGCTTTCTGATTGGTTTAGCTTCTGTTGCTAGGGTTACGACTCTAACCCACCCCCCTCAAGGACGTTAATATCTACATTTCAGATAAGAAGTTCTGCCTCACTGAAATCGTTCGTTTTAGCTGTTTGTTTAACGTGATTATACCTTAGTGATATCAAATGATTTGAGTTAAAGTTGTTTATTTCTAGGAATATTCTAGGAATAATTAATAACTATTAATTGTTATCTAACTCATGTTTGCGTGTTCTTACTTGATCCTTTTTATACTTTTTAGTTTAGTTGCTGTTGTAGCTTACTGTGACAATTAACCCTGTGTCCTCTCAGCTAAACCGACCCTGTATTCAACAATGATTAAATGTTAATGGTTATTATTAAGAGAGATCCTGAGGGATCTTATTTAGTCAAACTATATTGTCTAAATTAAAGAGATGTGTTCTAGCTTTATTTATGTTAATCAGTCTGCTATCTGGCATGATTTGATTGCTTGTAATATATCAAATGTGAACTTGTAAAATTATCCTTAGCTAATATGAGATTATATTTAAAGGTCAACTAGTTAGAATTAGCAAACATTTTCTATAATTATAGTGCAACCCTGGAAGAAAGACACACACACTTTGTATAACATGACATTTGAATGCTTGACAGGAAATATAAAAAAGGTATAAAAATATGAAATCCAACACCATGCTGTGCCTTTTTGAGGAACAGAGACAGGTACCGCAACATTAATAAATCAACAGCTTATCATATCTCTAAAGATACAGTCCTTAGCGGCTAACAAGATAGCTAACGCTTTAGCCGTCTTGTTCCACAGCTGAGACGGGACCGTGTCTTAGCTATATGATAAACTGCTGATTTATTAATGTCGCGCTACCTCTCTCTGTTCTTTTAAAAGGCACAGCACGGCTAAATGAGCTCTGAACCGTGGTTTGCTTCAAGGAAGGAGACAGGTCAGTCACACCTGCAGCTTCAAGGTTCCAAGTGGAGGCTCACTTTACCGCAGTTCACACACGCTTACTAACGTGAAGGCGGCGCAGCTGAATGGACTGTACTTATATAGCGCCTTTCTATCTTATCAAGATACTCAAAGCTCTTTACAACACAATCTCTGCCCTCATTTACCCATTCATACACTCTACTAGATCTCTACAAAGAATAGTCAGAGCTTTAAATCACATTCATACACCAATGGGACACACATCGGAGGCAATGAGGAGTTCATTGTCTCACTCAGGAACACTTCAGCATGTGACTGCTGGTGGAATCAAACCCACAACTCTCCCATTGGAGGATGACTGCTCTAGCCTCTCAGCCACAGCTGCCCCCAGCTGAAGAGGATTAATATTTAATATATGTAAATATATGTCTAAAAAATAAACTAATATATGTAAATAGTTAATTTTTTTAGGCATTTATTTTGTATAGTTACGGCTGTTGTTAATAAATGTGGCTGTGTGACAACTGGGACAAAACTTTGACTCAAAAATATATTTTTGTTATTAATTTATGGAAAGAAAAAATATTGAGATATATATCGTATATCGAGATTTATCTTAAAATATTGAGATATAAATTTTGGCCCATATCGCCCAGCTCTAATTGGCCCTACCAATATATCAGTCGGGCTCTAGGTTTCAATCCGTTGTTCTAATGGCTATTACCTTTGTCAGCCATTTTGAAGTGGGGTTTAGTGTAAAAGAGTGTAAATAGTATTTACCCTTTGTTGTTAATTCTTTGAATGACCTCAGCCATTTTCATTGTTAAAAAAAAACAGTTCTCAATTGACCTACCTGGTAAAATAAAGGTTAATAATACCTAAGTTTGGGGAGCCAGAGTTTAATTCTGACAGGATTAAGGAGCCAGTGGGGATTTGTAGAATTTGATGTTGCCCACTGGGCAGAGGAACAGGAATGCATTTGAGTATTATCGATGGAGTCACTACCGCCACGCTTCGGAATATGGAGCTGCCAGTTACCAGTAGGTGTGTCGCTGAGTGAGAAAGTTTGATTTGAAACGTGACCAGGCTTAGCCTTAGCACTGTGTTTATCTGAACTGTTGCCCAACCAGCCTGGGGCCCCGGCAGCAAACTCTAATATTTATTTAGGTATTTCTTGTAACAAATGCTGGCCCCTGCAGAGTCTGCAGTGAGTTTTGGTCCCTGAGCAGATTTATTTGGTGTCTGTGGCTTTAAGCTTTGAACAGTATTTGACTCCTTATTCATTAATTCATTATATTAGCAAACATATTCAGGAATTCCTGCCAGGTGTGACCCTGGAATTTCCTGGAAGTGCTACATATTGCTGCTGCTGTATTTGACCAAGTCAAATTTTGAAGTTGTGTTCATTTTGAGACTGAAGATATCCACGTTGATTGTGGCTGTATTCAGACTAGCCATCTGTCACATCTGTTTGTGTTTTATATCTTTCAGATCTGTCGCTTGTGTTTCCAACATAACACCCCTCTGGATGCCATCGCTCAGTTCAGGAAGCACATGGACCTGTGTAAGAAGAAGATTGGTAGTGCTGAACTGGCTTTTGAGCATTCTGCATGGATGTCCAAACAGTAAGATTTACATATCTCTATCTTTAAACAATGATCATGCTGTATCTTCCGGTGTAATCTAACATAATTTTAGGAGATGCCTGGATTAGATTAAGGAATTGTTTAAATGAACTCTCAAGTTATTCAATATAAACATACAACGATGGTTTCAGGGCTGAAGCCAGACTTTCTGCTTCTCAACAGGTTCCAGTCATTTGGTGAGCTCTTTGATGAGGCCATAAAGTTGGGTCTGACAGCCATTCAGACTCAGAACCCGGGATTCTACTACCAACAAGCTGCCTGTTACTGCCATGACAGGAAGCAGCTGGCACAGCAGCTCTGTCAGGTCCAGACTTTTCCTTCAGATGTGTTTTTATATGCCTGTCGAAAGGCAGACATTTTATGGTATAGTCTGCATACGTATGTCAGTAAACTTTCTCTTGTCCTGCCCATAATGACTGATCCACTCAAGATAATATTATTGACGGCGGCTGTGGCTGAGTGGTTAGAGCAGTCGTCCTCCAATGCGAGAGTTGGGGGTTCGAATCCACCAGCAGTCACATGTCGAAGTGTCCCTGGGCAAGACACTGAACCCCTCATAGCCTCTGATGTGTGTCCCATCGGTGTCTGAATGTGATCTAAAGCACTGATTAGTCTCATTAGAATGATTTGTTCAATTAGCTTTGTAGAAATCTAGTAGAGTGCTGTATGAATGGGTAAATGAGGACACAGATTGTAGTGTAAAGCGCTTTGAGTATCTTGAAATAAGATAGAAAGGCGCTATATAAGTACAGTCCATTTACCAAAATAAAATGCAATAATTTACAAGTTAAACAACAAAAAAGGAAGATGATCTTAATAAAATTAGATTTCTCATTGAGTTGAAAATGGTCTCTTACGGTACAGTCAGCACAATGTTCTCTGGTGAAATTAACACTGGAGATGTCTTCACCACTTTATGTGTGTAGCATCAGTTTAAACAAACTGGTCAGGCACTAGGACCATGAGGTGGTGGTGTGACAGCAGCTTTCTCCTGTAGCTACGTGCTGAGAGAAAGGGTCTGTTGAGTATTTTTTTGAGCTTTGAAGCCGAGGAAATAAAGTTTAAACCTCTAGACAAAGAGGAAAGGGGAAAACAAAATCTGATTGTTTACTGAGAGCACCCCCCCACACACACACACACACACACGCACACACAGTCCTCCCCCCCCCCCCCCACACACACACACACACACTCTAGCTGCTTAATTATCTGAGTTCTTCAGTGTCAGCAACTTTTCTATGTACAGTAGTCAGTCCCTCGCTACTTCGCGGTTCATTTATTGCGGACTTGCTCTATTGCGGTTTTTCAAAATAAGATTGGACATGACACACAACTGGCTGACTGACAGATGAGCTGCATGATCAGCATGGAATTTTTATTTAAAATAAATTATTTTAAATTATTTAGCACCTGCTGTTCCTGTGTACATCTCCAGAGCTCCCTCCTGCAGCTAATCAGCTGATCTCTGCTCTGTAACGGAGAAGTAGGCATGGCCAAGAGCGCTGGCAGGTGGCAGAGAGCAGAGGAGGCAGAGAGCTGAAATCATGACATTCTGTGCTCTTTTTGAGCTTTAGAGTTTAGAAGCATTGTTTATAGTATTGCAAGATAAACTACTTACTACTACTACTAGTACTACGTACTACTATTCCTACTTTGTGGTTTTTCACTTATCGTGGGGCTTCAGGGTACGGATCCCCTGCAATAAACGAGGGACTACTGTAGTTTAAAAACTGAATGTTGCTGACTATAGACTGATGGAAAAATAAAATAAAATAAATCAAATTTTGTTGACCTATATGAAAACTGTTTGTAGAGGCTAGGGCTTTAACAGACTACTCAAGTAATCGACACATCGATTCCTAGGACATCTCTCGAGTTTTTAAATTTCACGTCGAGTATTCGTAGTGGCGTCATTACGTCGCCGTTACGTCATTGCGTCGCCGTTACGTCATTGCGTCACGTGATCCGCACCGGGCGCAGGCTACAAAATGGATTCCCCCAAGCAGACGGATGGCGCAAAGCAGGCCCAGTCTTGGCAAACAGGTAGAAATACATCAATAGTATGGAAATATTTCACTAAAGATGAATCTTCCGGTTTAACTAACTGGGGCGGCTGTGGCTGAGTTGTTAGAGCAGTCGTCCTCCAATGCGAGAGTTGGGGGTTCAAATCCACCAGCAGTCACATGCTGAAGTGTCCCTGGGCAAGACACTGAACCCCTCATAAAAGACACTGAACCCCTCATAGCCTCTGATGTGTGTCCCATCAGTGTATGAATGTGATCTAAAAGCACTGATTAGTCTCATCAGAATGATTCGTTCAATTAGCTTTGTAGAGATCTATTAAAGTGCTGTATGAATGGGTAAATGAGGACACAGATTGTAATGTAAAGCGCTTTGAGTATCTTGAAATAAGATAGAAAGGTGCTATATAAGTACAGTCCATTTAACTACCGTAAGGAAACAGAAAATGAATCAACTTCCTGACTGAGCTCGTTGCAAACCGATGTTACACAATATTCAGTGACCACCATATATTGTGACCGTAGGGGCGGTGTTGCATGCACTGTTGCAGGTCACATAATATGGTGTAACACCGGGTCCAATCGACCGAACCAGAACTAGCTTCCTCTGACATTGTTTCACAAACAAAAAGCAAAAAATATTCATCTCTAAACCTATTAAAAAACATATAAACATATTAATCTCTAAAACTAAACCTAATGCGCACCACCACGGTCGGTGGTGCGGGGTGGTCGACCGCCCCACTGGTTTTAGTTTAGTTTTTTACATGCCGTATGTTTTTCACTTTTGCAGCTTAATAATAATAACTAATAGTTTTGTTTTTCCTGTGTCTTATTTGCAGTATGATAAATGGTAGGATCATAAATATATGCTCCCAATGTTTTGTTGGTCTTTTTTTTGTAAATAATGATCTTTTTTGTGGTTTTATTTATTTATTTATTGTTGCATCTTGAGATCCTATGACATCAACAATTACTCGAGTTCTACTCTAGTTTTATTATGTTAATGTTGAATTTAAAAATGATGTAGTCGTTCAACCCCTAGTAGAGGCACAACTGATTTAATTATAGTTTTATGAGAGAAATTTCCCCTCAATTGGTCTTTTTTTCCCCAGGCTATGGTGAGTTATTCCTCCACAGACCTACTGGATCCCCAGAGTGGAGGACTGGACTTCTATGGCCAGAGACCCTGGAGACAAGGACACCAGAGTATGAACACACACACACACCATGTCTGAACAACACAATCAAACAATACACACACACACACACCATGTCTGAACAACACAATCAAACAATCTGATTTGTGAATGTGTGATAATGTTCCAAAATGTTCTGGAGGAACAGAAATTACCTCATGAACAGATTTTTATTTTTTAAAGAAGCACAGAATCACACACAGTTGGTTGATGTGTGTTTTATCTTCAGGTATTGATCCTCCTGATGCAGAGAAGGAGAAGATGGGGATTTTGGCCCTTCAGATTAAAGAGAGAGATGTCCCTCATTCTGTAAGAAAACTGTTACAGTGCAACGTGAAATACAGCAGCTTCAGAAAGTGTTTGCGCTCCATCCATCATCTTTACCTACTTCTTCCTATCTGGGTTGCGGGGGGTCACTGGTGCCCATGTCCAGCAGTCACTGTGCGAGAGGACACATAGGACAAGTCCATCACAAGGACACAGAGACAAACAAGACAAACAGCCATTCACACTCACTCATACAGCAGGAACAGTTTAGAGTTACCAGCCCAACACTTTATTTAATTATTTGTTTAACTTTATTTAACCAGGCAAATCCTATTGAGATCACAAATCTTTTTTGCAAGAGAGGCCTGGGCCTCAAGGCAGCCCAAACCCACTCAAACACAAGGAGGACATGCAAACTCTGCACAAAAAGACCCCAAGTCCAAACCTGGAACTGAATCCATGACCTTCTCGCAATGAGGTGGCTGTGGTAACTGTCTAAGCTAAGCTAAGTAAGGTGTCATGCCACTGTTGTGTTGCATTTAGATGCTACATTCATTTTTACCTCAGTAATCTACACTTTGCATCTTATAATGGCAGAGAAAACTTATATTAAAAAATCAAACCAAATTTATTTGTATAGCACATTTAAAAAAATACTGCCATTAGTCAAAGTGCTGCACCGAGTACAATTACTGGTATTAAGAAGACTAAACAAAAATAATACACCAAAAAACAAGAAAAAATAAAAACAGCTATAAATATGGCAAAAAAAAATTAAACTAATAAAATACAGCAAAAATGTCAACTCTCAAGTCATTACAATAAAATATGAAATAACACATTTCCATAAGAATTCAAACCTTTTGCAGCATCTGACATTATAATCGATGTGAATAATTATTTTATTATTTTAATAATTTTGTACATAGCCCTGAGACTACATTTGTTGTGATTTGGTGCTGTAAATTGAATTGAACTACTGCTGCCAATCTTGGCCAGGACACTCTGGTGAAAGAGATCTGAGCTCTCAATGTGTCTTTCCTGTGTAAATAATGGTTTAAATAGATTTTTTTTTAAAATATGAATTAATGAGTCAAAAACTGTCATAGAAAAAAAGAGATTCCCAGAACAACCAGGTGTAAGCTTCATCAGATTTATTACAAAGATTTGGAGAACAGCCAGTAATCACAGAAGATGAATGCATTTTCAAGTACACACTTATCAATGCCTTCACCTTTCTGAGGTTCTGACCCGTTCTGACTTCCTGAACAGAAAAAATCAGTTTTGTAGGAACAACCAGCCCCCAGACCCTCCTCGCCCTGTCCAACTTTATTATAACCCAGCTGCAGTCAGGAGCGGGGAGATATCTGGAACGCCATGGACTCTGAAAGAAAGACGTCACTGTCTTCATGTCAATCAGACCTTGAGGATGTTAGAATTCTGTCTTGCTGTCCCTTCACTGACCACATGAAGACTGATTATTAATTACATAGAGTGAGGATCATGGAACATTTTAATATCATTCACAATAACAGTAAAAGAGCAGGTAAAATTATGGAGCATGGTGAATGCAAATGATATACGTTCCCTTGACAAACTTTATTTGCTTACCTACCTACTGACTGACTGAGATAATAACTTAATTATTTAATTAACATAGAGAGGCCAGACTGAGATGGTTTAGACATGTCCAGAGGAGGGACAGTGGTTTGGACATATCCAGAGGAGGGACAGTGGGTATACTGGTAGAAGGATGTTAGAAATGCAGCTGTCAGGAAAAAGACTAAGACATGGAGGTAGTTGGAGTAAGGACAACGTGAAATGGAGGAGGATGACTCGCTGTGGAGACCCCTGAAGAGGGAAAAGCTGAAAGAAGAAGAATTAATATAATATATATTAATTTAATTGGTTCTGATTCCACAACAAGTTCAGAATCACACACTAACGTGTAACGTCCATATTTACTTCCTTAAACACAGCACGCTGCATGTGACGTCACATTTTCTTCTGCGCAAGCAGATCACCTCAGAACTGTAAATGATTCACACTGGAGTCTGATGGAGGACGCATTTTATTGATAATGTAAACGATAATTTAAAAAAAACTGGATCTGATCAGAAAATCTGAATTACGCACTAAGACCTGCAGTGTGAATGTAGCCAATCAGAACTGTAGACTGACACTAATCTGGCCTTAATGAAAAACTTGGCAGAAACCTTTCCTTGGCGCAAAAATGTGAAAACTGTTCAAAGTACTCTCAGACCACAAAGAACAGGATTCCTTGATCTGACGAAACCCAAACTATACGGCTTGAACTCTTCTAAATGTTATCTCTAATGGAAACGTTGGTTACGTACTGTAACCCCAGATTCTATGAGTATAGGCGTAGCCCTTTAAGGCTGTCGCTAGTGGGCTTATCCCTACGCGCGCAGCACAGCACTGAAAACTTTAGTCCACGCCCACCTGCTGTGTGGGCCTCACCCCCGGTCCGTATAAATTACGGTGAGACCGGGTAATCGGCTCCCAAATAGGTTTATTCTTCAGCCATTTAGGAACCAGTGAGGCCCAGAGCTTAAAGGGCTACGCCTATACTCATAGAATCTGGGGTTACAGTACGTAACCAACATTCTATTTCGTATAGGCTTCGCCCTTTAAGACCATTCGCTAGTGGGTTAAAAGGCGAAGCAGGATGTAGTCTGTCTCACTGGGTCCATTCAGACACAACATGAAGCACCTGCTTTCACAAAAAAAAAAAATTTCATCACTCAGCCTTCTGTGTGCATAATTACACGCTGCGTAATTGAGTGCTCCATGCGCAGGAGCGCACCGGAGAAGATCTCTGGTGAGGAAAAAAGGCTGAGATGGCAGACCTGCCGTTGTGAATAGCAACAACGGAGGATATGAATTGTAAAAGTGTAACGATAAACAGAGCAGACCAACAGCTCCCCAGGATGAACCGGTTAATAACAATAAAATCAGCAGTCATGAACTTGTGACTGATAATAAATATCTCACACTGCGACTGCATGCAGGCAGGTGTGAGCTCAAAAGTGAGGCTCCATGAAACAAATAATCATTCTGTCAGAACCCTGAGAACAGAATGGGTCATGGAGAAAGTAGAAACATCATGTAGATAAAAACAAATAATTGAACATGGCGATGACCATGCAGCTGCCATACAAATTTCCTTCACTGTCATCCCTCCATGCAGAGCCATGGAGAATGAAAACCCTCTGGTGGAATGCGCTGAGATTCTCTGGAGGATCCAGTCCAGATGAATTGTAAGCTTCAGAAATAGCCTCACACAACAGTGTGAGAGGCGCTGGGTGGATAGAGGACGTCCTGAAGAGCTGTCCCAGTAATGCACGAACATACGCTGAAAGCGGCGCAGTGCGGCCGTGTGCTCCACGTAACATGAAAAATGCGCACATGGGACAGAAATAGGTGACATGTTGCTTCCTCGTCAGAATTATGAGGAAGAGGATAAAACCCATCCAAGGTTATCACTCTCGATCTGAATGAGCTTGTGATGTTTTTCATAGCAGGGTTAAAACGCAGTACAGCTGAACTGCCGTCAGCTTGAATTCTGAGACATGAGGGAGCAACAGAGAGAGCAAACAAACACTCACTCTCTTTGCCGACGTCAGAACTAACAGCAGGGCTGTTTTTAATTATAGAAATTTAGTGAAACCTGATCTAAAGGCTCAGAAGGAGCTTTGATCAGAGCGTGCAGGACCATCATTAGGTCTCACTGTGAAGCTAGTGGACATGACACCGGTCTGTGTCTCTGTACACCTTTCAGGAAACGCTTCATCAACAGGTGATTAAGAACTGTTCTGTCACCAAAGCCTTCGTGACGGGAAGAAATAGCTGCAGCTTAAGTTTTAATTGTGCTGAACGCTAGATCTCTGTCCATCAGCTGCTATAGAAAGGACAGCATGCCACCTGGTGGCCATGAGATGGCCTCCACGCCTTTCTCTGCGCACCAGCGCTGAAAAAACTGTCCACTTGATGTGTACAGCGTTGTGGTAGAAGCAGCTCGTGCGCCCTGAATGTATGCATCACATCCTGTGGGAGGCCCACCTTTTCTAAACGGATCTGTTCAGCGGACAGACCCAAAGATGCTGACCTATTTCTGGGTAACTCCTGATCGCTCTTCCTGCCTGAAGGAGAGCGCACCCCCACAGCAGTTTCCCCGGCCGACCCGATATCAGTCGCTGCAGATTTGGGAACCACGGAGCGCATATGCGTTGGGGAGCTACGAGGATGACTGACGGTTCTTCCTCCCGGACACGGTCCAGGGTTCGTGCTATCGGCAGGACTGAAGGGAATACATAAAGAAGCATTTTTGGCCACGAGCTGTGAGCGAAGGCGTTCACTCCTAATGGTGGGTCGTCTCGTGGGCTCATTGAGAACCATAATTGACACTGGACGTTCTCCCGTGTGGCGGACAGATCCACTGCTGCTCGGCCAAACCTGCTCCAAAATCCGAGAAATCAACTCGAGATGGAGGCTCCAGTCTCTGTGGCGGGGACCGCCCCTCGACATGATGTCCGCTCACTTGTTTAGGACGCTGGGAATATACACTGCTCTAATGGAGAGCAGGTTTTTGTGTGTGCCCAACACAACAACTGTTTAGTGATGCGTAACAGTTGGGCTGAGCGCATGTCTCCTTGACGGTTTATGTAAACTGTCATCACTTCGTGACGCCTATATATCAGAATGATGGAAATGTGAAAATATGCGCTCTTCAGATCTATGGAGGTGAAAACCAGTCGTTCTGGTGAAGTTCTCCAGCAGCTGTTTGTCAGCATGTGGAATTGTCTCCCCATGATGGAATTGCTGAACTTGAACAGGTCGAGAATGGGTCTCATCCCTCAGGGTTTTTTTTCAGAACCATGATGTAGTGGGAGGGAAAAAAAACCCGTATTTTCCTCTCCGTTGGGAACTCTGGAAATCACGTTTTCCGTCAGAAATTCCTGAACTTCTGTCTGGAGAGACGAGCTCTGTTCTGGAGAAGATAGAACCATCTCTATAATCCCTCTGAACGGTGGGGGTTGAGCTGCAAACTGTAGCGTGTAACCCCTTCTGATCAAATGGTCCGCCCATCTGTCCAGGAAACACACTCGCTGCCACTCTGAGTAACGCTCGGAGAGCGGGCATGCATTTGTGTTGTCATGTTTCTCATGAACGTCAACCAGACTAAAAATCCTTACTGCCATCACTCGCTCCGGAGTTTCTCCGGGGGTAACCCAAGGAGGGCTCTGACAGAAAAAAGGGCTGTATGTGTGCCTCTGTGCTGAGCCCAGGCTGCGGTCTCACATAGAGCTGAGGTGAGCCGGCGCGCACTGAGAGGAGGCGTGAGTGCTTTCTGAGTGAGACGCCATTTCGGTGGAGGCTGCAGCTGTCGTGGAGAAAACACGTTTACTCCCGCTGCGCTGTGAGTGGGCAGAAAACAGCAGGAATTAAAAATGGGCTCTGGCTGAAAACGAGGGATTTTACCGGACTCGGTTTGCTGAAAAAACATCATTTTAGCTGACGTGGCAGACGAGTGTTTTGTGATATTTACTGAACTGCAGTGCCATTTAAAATGCTGTTTAGAGGTTACTGGCTCATTCTGTGTGAGGAATGTGTGAACAGAGGTAGCTGTGAGCTCAGCTGATCTGACAGTCTCAGATGAAAAAAACTTTACTTTCAGAGGTGTTTCTGTTTTATATAAAAAAAACATACATCATCAAAAAACACATACCTTGCCCTCAAGGATCTGTAACCTGGTGGAGGGGGCTGGCGGAGGAGTGGAGCGTGAAGTCGCTGCCGCAGCTGTGGAGCGCCTCTGCTGCTGTTGCTGGCCAAGGCGGTCCCTCCAGTGGCCAGAGGGGCGAGAGGACGACTGTGACATCACCAGATGGTGTGCAGTCTCTGAGACCTCCTCGGACTTCTGCGATTTCTCGTGGATGGTCCTATAGTTGGACCCGAACAGCGCCTCTGGGGTGATGGGGCCCTCCAGCAGGTCTTTCTGTAGCCTCTCGGACAAGACTGGCTAGAGGCGGAGCCAAGTGGTCCTCTGGATCATGGTCATCCATGCGGCGATGCGGGAAGGCAGACCGCAGAGGTGGTACATGTTTAAGATGACATCAGCAGCTTTACAGAGAGAGAGCTCTTTGTCTCCTCCAGCAGGTCTGCTTCCTCCAGCCGCTTAGAGATGCTGTAGGCCAGCAGGGCGACGTTTTTGTTCGCTTCAGCCGTCTGGCATGTTTACTGGTGAGCTCGGTTGGAGACCTTGTCACCATCTGGTCATGCTTCCCTGCAGGGACAGGTTGCTGGTCCATGCTGGAAGCTTTTGCCCCAAATGCCACAGCCAGGCTTGGCTCTGGGGGGGGGGGGGGGGGGGGGTGACCGAGGGAAAAAACACAGATCAGTAAAACCCTCACCCCCGAAGGTGGAGACGGATGTCTTCAGCTTGCCGGGCCCAGCTGCAGCCTCTTTCCAGTGTGACGTCACAGCTGGACAGCGAGGCCAGATGGGGTCAGGGCGATGAGCTGGGGCGGAGCCAACCTTGCCACCAGATCATCCGATCAGGGCAGAGGGAGGCGAGGGACAGAAAGTCCCTTGTGTTAACATCCTCCTGGATTTCCTGATGCATGCTCAATAATCCAGGTAGAAAAATCTAAAAAAGTTAAATCTGGTCCTCTGGACATTCAAAAAAAACAAAACAAAGCAAATCAACAAAAAATGTAGAAACATTTCGTCTCTCATCCGAGAGACTTCCTCAGTTCTGAGGAGCTGTATTCAGCTCAGTCTCTTAAATAGCACCGTCTCAGAGTGGATCAACCACTGTTGATATTGCAGTAGAGGTGGTCAGTTTAAAATTAAAATCAGACACCACTCTGAGCAGCAGGACCACACTTTCCACAGAACAACTGTGTCAACTCTTGAAACAGTGCCTACAGTCAACCTACTTCACTTATGGGGAGCAATATTATAGGCAGAAACATGGGTGTGCTATGGGGTCTCCAGTTTCTCCTATTGTTGCCAACCTGTACATGTAGGAGGTAGAAAAGAGAGCCTTGACGTCCTTTTCAGTGACACCACCAAGTCATTGGTTCAAGTATGTTGACGACACTTGGGTTAAAATCAAATCTCAGGAAGTCCAACATTTTACTGACCACATCAACTCTGTGGATAAATACATCAAGTTCACACGAGAAGATGTAAAAAATGGCAGGTTGGC